ATCTTTAGACGCACACACACAATCATCGCTGATGAAACCATTAAAATCGTGTGTTTCCATACGAAAGTCTCCGGGGCTTCCGCTAAACGAGTGCTATCATCTGGCTGAACAAAATGGGGATTAATGTTGAATGTTACTGATAGCAATCTGACAAAATCGTCACATCCCAAACGCTGCAGCCTGAATGCACTTAATCCAAATGAATGGGCAATAGAAACCACTTCATTTGGCAGAGAGGAGAAGTTCCCCCTTTTTCCCTCTCGCTGTCTTTTAGAGAGACGGCGAGGGATCCTCCATCCACAGCTTGAATAATTAGCAGTTAATAAGTTCATCGATTATCAGGTGCCAAAGGGAGATAAAAGGACGAGGAAGGAAAGAAAGAGGAGAAAGAGGGGGGGGGAGTGGGGGCACGAAGGCTATGGTAGCAGATTGTAGTGACAATAGGCTAAGCAGCTCTGTGGGGTTAAGAAGTAGGAAGGGGGTTACAAGCCTTCAGGGCTTTACCTCCAAACACCTCCCTTGTGAGTTAGGGGAGTGTGGAGGGGGTGGGTGGGGCGGGGGCACCTTTCCACCAGCGGCATATGGATTTAGACAGAGAGCAGGAACAGAGCGGCGCGCCATATGGGTGAGCCACTCCAGACCGGCCGCAGAGCCGCCGAGCGTCCCCGCTCTGCCTGCTAACCTGGCGCCAGGTCGCTCTCTCGGCTTCGGCCAGATTCTGCCGAGCTCTGAGGCTGATCCCGGGACTGGGTGGCCCTCTGCGATGCTCTGGCCTCGCTCGCCATCTCTCTCGCTCCCTTTCTTTTGCTTGCCAGGCCGGGCCGCTGAGCCCGTGGTGTGTGTCTTCTTTGTGATTGGACCGAGCTGAGAGTGATGCTGCTGCGACTCCGTTTCTCCCGCCTCGCCTCGCCTAGAGACCGCTCGGACGGCAGGTTGGGTATCTGTGCTGCTGACCCCCCCATCAAAACTTAAATTTGCCACCTGGCGCAGCACAAACACTCCCACAGCTACAGTGAGCTGAACGGGCGTGCGCGGCGTAGGTGTTGGTGCGTTTTGAGAGGGCGGCGTATGTGAGCGGCTGCATGCTTGGTGGTTAAGACGCCACATTTGTGTGTGTGTGTGTGTGTGGGTTTCACTGTGCTATATGTTTGTATTTGCCCACATATGGAGGACGAGGGGAGGGGCTGAGGGCGAGGCACCGTGGGTGGGAAGTGGTTGTTTTTACTCATCAGGATCTGTGATAAAATCGAGAACTCAGCAAAGACGAACGGCTCAGTGGCAGTGAGGTCTGTGTGTGTGTGTGTGCACACGTGTACATGCACACGTGCGTTACCGTCTCTGGGTGTGAGCGGCTGCAAAACTGTCACACACATCAGAGCTGCCATCGCTGTATGTGCTTGCTGCTATTATTAACCACTACGTACGCACACCAATATGTTGCAGAGAGCCCTCCCAGGCGCGCCGCATATGGCACACGCAACCAAACAGACACACACACGCGGGCAAAGACGCACACGTTCTCCTGCAAATAAAAACATTCCACTTGCCAGATTTCTGAGCCGTCGCAGCCCCGCCCACACCAGGTATCTGTGTTTGAGTGGCAGCTGAGGGGTTGCTGCGACTCTGATCTCACGCAGGACCACGAGGAAGTGATGCGTCTGTGCGTGTGTGATATGACATAAAAACAGCAGGCATGTTCTCGCTCCCCTCCATCTTTATATATATCCAT